CATAAGGCACAATTACACAAAGAGCATTTAGCAATTAACACTTAAATCACAATTGACCCCAACACACAACACACAACCCAGTGAGTAAACAATGCAGGGACATAATATGGGTAAGCCAGCCAACCCGGGCTAAAGTAATGACTAGGCTCCAACTCCCCGGCGCAAAAGCGGCTCAGAGTTCGAGCTGACAGTCTCGTGTGGCACTCTGCACCTACTTTCCCTTTGTGCCTAAATATCAGCCCTCGACGTGTGACATTCTCGCCCTGGCCCACTGCTCGCTGATTGGAGCTTCAGTCAAGCTGAAGCAGAGCGAGATGAGCAAATGCCAGACGTCCTGGGCAGCTCTGCAGCCCAAATTCAAAATTGCTTTCTCTTATTTTATATGCTTAGACTCTTAAGAGTGTTTCTTTTTCCCAGTTCAGGAAGTTTATTATCTCAAGGGGAGAAAAAAAAATTTAATTAAAAAAGGGAGAGAAGTGAGAAGAAAGGGAAGGGAGAAGCCAGGTAAGGACATTCATATTTCAAAATACTCTTAATGAGTATTTAGTTGTTCAAAGCAATTATAGACTGCTTGGTAAATATGGACCCATACGGCTTCAAAAAATACGTATCATTGACCCAATCTTGTAAGTACATATTGTTAGAATACATATGATCATTAATGGCTGTCTGGAATCATAATGGGCTATTCAAAATATATATATATTGGATGACTTTAAGAAAATGAGCATTAAAATGAAAAACCTATACTTTCTGGGTCTACCAAACATCTTTAGAATTTTTAAGTAAAAGGAGTTGTTTTTTTTCTTCCCTTTTTCCTATATTATCCCATCCAAGCGTTTGATCTATATGATACGCTAATAGTTGAAAACATTTAATTCTGTAGCATGAATCTGTAATAATAATTTATATTTCACAAATAAATATTGTTAGAAATATAAAAAAAAAATCTTTAAACCCAAGAGTGGGATGGCCTCTTTAAATAATAGCTCTGAGGCATTTATTTATCAAATATTCTGTAGTGACTTCCCTAGCAGAAGTTTAAAGAATGTCTATATTGTTTTTTTGACCTTCACAATCAGTAGGATTGATTGGAGCTTCCCTTTTGTTTCCCTAAAATCAAAGTGAAATAAAATGCCTTGAGTGGAAATCAAAAGCCTTTGACATATAGCAAAAAGCTTGCTGTGCAATATTAGTACCCAAAGGCAATTCAGATTTCTTTTCAGAAGCAACATGTGCTCACTGTGAACTTTCCCCCTTTCTTCCTGTTTTCCTTTCCTTCCTTTTTTTTTTCTTTTACACAATTTATTTGAAGAACATCATCATGTCAATTTCTAATCTACAAATTCAATATCCATGATGGGCTAGAAAATACCTTCTAAGTGCAGCTTCCGTACCTGAATATATTACTGTGCTTGAGGCAGTAGTAAGCCAAAACCTCTTCAGACGGCCAGACGCCTACAAAATACAAGAGGAAGGACTTTTGGATTATAGAAGTCATTCTCTTGAGAAATGGCTTTTAAAATTAATGTTCAGGAGAAGCTATTTCAACTCGAATCACACTTAACAATTATAACTTGTAACAGGTCATACTGCATGAGTTTTGTTGTTATTGTTTTTCTCATGGTGCTATTTATAACCCCTTTCTCCAGCAAAATCTCTAAGCATCATAAATAGATGTTACCAAATTTCAGTGGCAGTGGAACAGCGAAAACAATAACAACCAAAATGACAAATATCAAAAGTTTACATTTTTGATGGTGTTTCAGATCATCTTAGTCTTGTTCACATAAAATTAATAAGCATCAACTGAAGACCTGCTACATGGGCAGCCCAGGCTAAGCAAAAATAAAAGGAAAAATCACTTGCAGGAGTCAATAAAGCCACTATATGTTTCTGTTTGAATTCATACTAATGTTTTAAAATATGTACAATTATTTCCTTTCTCCAATTAAAAGAAATCAAACTGGAGGATAAAATTAAGAAAGTTTAATTTCATCAACTTTGGGACATCATTAAATTCAGCAATAATCTTACCCACTAAATTATGTGGATTGCCATTTTCTAAAAGTATCACCTGTAAATCATTTATTTAGGAGACTTGGGCTTCAGGAGTGGATATGAATTGCTTAAAGAGAAGACAACCATGTTGGGGAATTATAGATTCTAGTGGTTATCACAGGACGGTAGGATTATAAATGCTTTTAATTTCTTTATACTTATTTGTGTTTTCGAAAAATATTTACAGTGTATATCAATACTCTTTAATCCGCACGAACTCTACCCTTATAAATATTCCGTTTTTCTCAAAGATCAGACTCGAGGATTGGGCAGGACACCAGGCACCGTGCATGGCCCGAGGAGAATGTCGTGCAGTCCTGGGAGAGGGCAGCATGCGGTCTCCACCTCACACCAGGCACTCCGTTAATGGGTCTTGATGCAAAGTTGAAACATCTACAGAAGGCTTCATATTTTCTCCCTAGATGAATCTCCAACCTCAAGGAGCAAGAAATCCAAGCATTTCAGGGAACCAGCGGTTAGCATAATGGCTATGTCGCTGGACTCCCAGTCGTGGTTCGCGTCCCGGACCTGGTGGCTTAAAACTCACGCCGGGCACGTGTGCGTGCATGCCCAAGATCCCGAGAGGAGAATGGAGGAGAAGGGATTGCAGCGTGACCATCTCCTCTGGGGGGTGATTTCTCGCTTTCTGTCTCTCTGTCTCTCTCTGTCTGTCTGGCAAGCGCACACGCTCTATAGCGAAAAACCTCTCCCCCCCAAAAAAAAGAAATCCAAGCATTTCTGAGAAGAGAATATCAAAGAAATGGCCAATAAAATGAGAAGAGATTTGAAAGGTAAACATCAAAACAGTGAAGACGTGACTCCATAGAGCATTTGCTGCAGGGAGGTCCAGTCAGGTGAATCCATTACCTTAACCTCCTTGACACTTCTGATAGAAATGACGGCTTGGGGAGAAATAAGGAAAATCAGTAAGAAGTATTTGGAGTCACATTTAGAAGGCAAGTCAGAGGCAGTAAAGTGGAGCAGTCAAGGTCTCACGTACTTTGGAGATGTGGCGGGTCCCAGCCCCAGGTCTGCCATCCCCTAGCTGAGTGACCTTGGACAGGTTACTTAACCTCTCTGTGCCTCAGGCTCCTCATATGTGAAATATTATAACTGTAGTATCAACCTCACGGGATTGTCTTGAAGATTAAGAGAGTAATATATATGCAACGGGCTTTGAACAGTTCTAACTCAATAAACTCAAACAAAAAGAATTTTACTTGTGGTTAATGTTATTCTCCTGCAAAGTGGGATAGCACATAGAAGAGAGAATACAGGGACTGAAAACAATGATCCCAATTACCAGAAAAGATGGAGAATCATTTCAACCTGCTCCTATTTTAAGTTTTGGCATAACCCCAAAGTCCTAGTGCCAGGCATAACTCCACATAAAGAGAACTCTATATAAAGACCAAGTACATGATCAAATTCTCTGAAGGAAGAGCCTGTTCTATATCAAGGGGATATAATCACCCCAACTATGAATTTCTTTGTACCTTTAGTATGTGGCTTTGAGGTTTAAAAAAAAAATGATAGGGAAGGATATTTTTTTTTTCTTTTTTTTTTATTTTTATTTTTTATCATCATATCTTCTTCATATTACATTGGATTACATATAACTTTACTGTGTGTTACATTATATTTAATGAAAATTTAAGCCTTAAGTTAAAAAAAAAGTGACTTCTAAAATGCAGTCTTTTGAAATAGTTTTATTATAATTTTCTTTAAAAATTATAGTGGCTGATTTTTAACTAAATTAAATACAAAAACACAAAGAGCAAAGTAAAAAAAACTACCTAAAATTCCACCACTAAGATAAAATTATGGTTAACATTTTGGACATCATTGCAAAAATATTTTTAAGCATAAAGATATTTTACACAAATGGGATCTTCTCATGCAGGTATTTAATAATCTGATTTTGCTGCACTCAATACATGGCACATAGCTTCCCATGAGAATAAAAACATATTCTCCCTGCATCATTATTTGTCATAATTGCCTATGTAGTCTATATGTGTACCAGAATTCATTTAACCAGTTTCTTCTTGAAAGACATTTAAGTTAGTTTCAAAGTTTTTGATATTATGAGATCATAAATAAGTAGTACAAGAAAGACACATCTTTGATTTTTCCTTAGGCCAAATATGTAGAAACAAGAATATGGTCAGGGGACCAGCAGGTGGCGCGGTGGTTAAGGCGCTGGATACTCCCACATGGCCAACCATGGTTCAAGTCCTGATCTGGTGGTTTGCGTTCTCTCTTCCTCTCTCTCTCTCTCTGGTCAAATTAAAATAAATGAATAAATAAATATTCTTTATTTTAAAAAAAGAACATGGTCAAAGGTTAAGTATATTTAACTTTTTTTTTTTTATTTGGTTTTTGCCATAAGGCACATACGCTCACTCGCTGAAGAGATAGAGAGAGACAGAGAGAGGGAAAGTGAGAAATCATTCTCAAGGGGGGAATGGCCCATGCCACAGTCCCTTCTCCATTTTCCTCTTGGGATTTTGGGCACGCGTGCATACATACCTAGTATGAGTTTCAAGCCAATAGATCCAGGACTTGAACTGTTGTCTCCCATGTAGGAGTCCTTAACCATTATGCCATCTGCTGGCCCCTATATTTCACATTTTGATATACCAAATTAGCCTCCATGAACGTTGTATTAAGGCTATACTTCCCAATAAGTGTTTGTTACCTCAAAGCCTTGCCAAGATGGGGTTTTGTCAACATATTTTGTTAGGTTGTTGGGAAAGTCAAACGCATCATGACTTTCCTGATAACCTAATATTTTTGCTAATCTGCTGAATTTTAGGGTCAGCTGGTGGTGTGATGGTTGAGGTGGGTAGATCCCACATGGCTGACTATGCAGTCTGAGTTCTGGACCTGGCGGCTTTGGAAACATGCTGGGTGTGTGTCCCCGCAAGCACAAAACCCTGAGGAGAGGAGAAAGGATTGTGGCACAGACATCCCCTCTGGGAGGGTGCTTTCTTACTTTTCTCTTTCTTTGGCAAGTACATGTACCCTATAGCAAAAGAATTTTTTTTAAATTTTAATTAATTAATTAATTAATTAATTTTTATTTGACCAGAGAAGGGCAGAGTGAGAAAGAGAGAGAGAGAGAGAGAGAGAGAGAGAGAGAGGGAGGAAACCTCCAGGTCTGGGACTTGAATTGAGAGAGAGAGCAAAGTGAGAAAGTAAGCCGCCAGGTCCAGGACTTGAACCATGGTCGGCCATACGGGAATCCAGCGCCTTTAACCACCATGCCACCTGCTGGCCCTGCCCTATAGCAAATTTTAAAGGAAAGTTATTTAAATATAAATCAAAACCTAAATGAGATGCTATTCCGCATTCATTAGGAAGGCTATAAACAAAAAGTAACAAGTGTGGAAGAAGATGTGGAAAAATTAGAACTCTCGTGCTTCGCTGGTGGATATGTAATATGTAAAATCATGTAGTCACTATGAAATTGCCTAGCAGTTCTTTTAAATGGGGGCCCAGATGTGGTGGCACAGGCAGTGGGGTGCCAGTGATTAAATCTTGAGCCATTTGGAAGGCCTCGGTTGACTTGAATATGCTGGCATGCCTGTGATCCTGACCGGCTGGAAGTCTGAGGATGAGGGGGAAATCAAAGCATGATGAAACCCTATTAGGGGGCCTAGCTCTCTCTCTCTCTTTTTTTCTTTTTTTTTTTTTTTTTGAGAGGTTTTTGCTATAGGAAGCGTGCGCTCACCAGACAAACAGAGAGAGACAGAGAGACAGAAAGTGAGAAATCACCCCCCAGGGGGGAATGGCCACGCTACAATCCCTTCTCCTCCATTCTCCTCTTGGGGTATTGGGCACGCACGCACATGCGCCCGGAGTGAGCTTTTGTAAGCCACCGGGTCCGGGACGCGAACTGCAGTCAACTACATGGAAGTCCAGCGACATAGCCATTACGCTAACTGCTGGTCCCCTTAGCTCTCTTTCTATTTCTCTCATGAAGAAAATAAACACATTTGGAAAAATATCAATTAAAAATGTATTTTTAAGTTAAGTGTAAATTACCATATTACCCAGCATTTGCTCCTAGGTATATACTTAAGAGAAATGAAAACATATCCACCAAAAAACTTGTACATGAATGTTTATAGCAGCATTATTTAAATAGTCAGAGATTGGAAACAACCAAAATATCTATCAAGTGATGAATGGATAAATAAAATGTGGTATGCCCATACAAAGAACAGTTATTTGACAATAGAAAAAGAATAAAGTACCAATATATGCTACAACATGAATGGAACTTGAAAACATATTAAATGAAACAAGCCAATTACATAGGACCACAGGCTGTGTGCTTCTGCTTATATGAAATGTCCAGAACAGGTACATCCATAAAGACAGAATGTAGG